AGTCCTCTGCAGTAACTTAACTGCCACCCCCCTTTTTCTAGTGAAAGAAAAGAAGGTATTCATGCTCATCTTTAGAATGTATCCCGAATACATTGGCTTCCTCCCCTCTCCACTATCACTGTGGTCCAGGTCACCACCGTTGCTCCCTGGGGTTTGCAGCAGCCTAACAAGGCTCTTTTCCTCGCACCCTTCCGTTTTTCCCATAGCAGCAGAATGTGGGAAACTGGACCATACATAATAGGTTAAGCTGCTTTAGTTGTCTTTGGATCAGATGCAAAATACAACCCAAGCTTCCTAAAACGTGTGGGACCCACCTTTCTAACCTCTAACCCTGTCACCACCCTTCTCAGCGCCCAGCTCCCAGCAGTGCTGCCACGCTCCTCAGTGCGGGATCTTTGCACACTTGGTGTTATTCTCCCAGCTTCTGGCGCTTCCCTCTGCTCTGGAAGGACCCTTCCTTTTCCCTGGACCCCAGGGAGGCCCCTCTTCCCCCCATCTGTTATTCTCTATCTCAGACCCTTTATTTTCTTCCAGGCACTTATTAGAATTTGTAACTGCTTTATTTGTCTGTTTTCTTGTGGCCTGTCTCTCCCATTCTCTTGGTATAGTTTCCATGCAGAGACAAGCTGAGGGCTGTCCGGCTATCAGGGGTGGGCAAATTTTTTGACTCGAGGGCCACAATGGGTTCTTAAACTAGACCGGAGGGCCGGAACAAAAGCATGGATGGAGTGTTTGTGTGAACTAATATAAATTCAAAGTAAACATCATTACATAAAAGGGTACGGTCTTTTTTTTTTTTTTTAGTTTTATTCATTTCAAATGGGCCGGATCCGGTCCGCGGGCCGTAGTTTGCCCACGGCTGGGCTAGATCCTCAGTACCCAGCACGGTGCCTGGGCACAGAAAACACGCTCTCAAAAAATATCTCTTTAATAAAAAGCCTTTTCGAAGGGTGGCATCTCCAACAATCAGGAACGTTCTCTTTGCTTCTGAATTTTGATCCCCTGGCAATGTTTCTGCTCGTTAATGAGAAATTCTTGTCTGGGGTTTATGGCTCAGAGTAGAGCAGATCGCAGGCAGCCTGGCAACCGCTGGCCGGTGTGGGAATCGCAGCAAGTCTCAACTTTGAACTCAGGAATGTCACTCTAGCCCCCAGGCCCCATGTCCGGCAGATGTGGCATGCTGCCAGAGGCCTTGGGCTTTCCACAGCTACTGAGGAGCCACGATCCAACTGTCTTCGTCTTCGCCTAATGCTCCAAACTCCTCTCCCAGGCCCCACAAACCTGTGCCCGTGAGAGCTTTCAAACGGAGGCAACACCAGAGGAAGGAGCTAGAGTGGCAGAGGTGGCCTCAGGCTGACGCAGGGGAGGGTGGAGAAGCTTGGAGGGCCCAGGAAGATGTGGCTGACAGTGGTAAGATTTGGCAGGAAAAGGGCACAAGGGCACAGTTCTAAAAGCAGCATTTTACTTTTGGTTTTCACTTCTCCAAGGCCCCGGGGCCGCTGTAAAGTTCTGGTTCTTGGGTGGTGCACACTCTCTCCATCATGCCTTCAGCCACTGCAATAGCTGAGGTGTGTAGTAGGTGATGATGATGTCGGCACCTTTGTGGGAGAGAAACAGGGAACGGGGGGGGGGGGGGGGGTGGCACGGGGCATCAGCTCTGGGCATACCTTCTGGGAAATGAGGGCCAGCGGGGAAGAAGGCTACTATGAAGAGGCACAGTTAGTGGGTTTCACAACGTAAGACTGAGCCCAGTGCTAGTCAATTCTAGCGCTCTAGATTGTGTGACTGTGGACAAGTCATTTTCTCTTTCTGGACCTCAATTTGCCAATGAATCAAATGCCCAGTGGGGAAGCAGATAAGCTGTAAGTTCCCTTCCACACTGTGTGCCATTCCAATAAAACCAGCTCGCATTTATGGAGTGATGAACATATGCCAATTACACCTATCATCTCATTTAACCCACATGACAACCACCTACCAGGTATCTTATCTACTATAGACAGGACTGAGGTTCAGAGAAGTGGCTAGGCCAAGGTCTCACAACCAAAAAATAATAGAGAGCTCTGCTTGCTTCACTGTTCCATGTTCTGTTCTACAGTCATGTCTTTTCCTCTCAGCCTGTGTCTGTTTAGATCACTGTTACCTCTGGGCCCAAGACTCCAGGCTGTTTCAGGACTTCATTTCCATCTCTGGGCAAACTGCCTATTAGTCTGTGGGTCACAGGTCAAAAACCCCACCCCTGCCAGCTTACCAGCTCTGCGGAAGGCAGTCATGACCTCCAGTACAGCGGCCTTGAGATCAAACGCTCCAGCCTGGGCTCCGTGCCACAGCATAGCAAACTCTCCAGAAACGTGGTACACGGCCAGAGGGAGTTCTGGGTGCTGCAGAGAAGCAGCAGTAGGTAGAAGTGGAGGGTGGGTGTACCCCTGGGAGGGTCCCTTGTTCCCTGCCCAACCTTTGACCATCTTGAGCCCCATGCCCTGAGGCACTGCTGGGGACCCATTCTTTTTTTTAAAATATATATTTTATTGATTTTTTTACAGAGAGGAAAGGATAGGGATGTAGAGTTAGAAACATCGATGAGAGAGAAACATCAATCAGCTGCCTCCTGCACACTCCCCACTGGGTATGTGCCCACAACCAAGGTACATGCCCTTGACTGGAATCGAACCTGGGACCCGTGAGTCTGCAGGCCAATGCTCTATCCACTGAGCCAAACCAGTTAGGGCGGGACCCATTCTTAAACTGTTAGAGCAGAGCTGTTCAAAGGCTTCTGCCCACTGGTGGCTCCTGGGCAGGGGCAGGGAGGGGAGGATTCCTGTCCAGGGGCAGATTGCTTCCAACTCTGAGATTCTGCAGTCCATCAATCTAAGGTCCCAGAGCCCGCGGACACACTCTCTCATTTCCCTGAGCTCCCCTTGTCTCTGCTCTGTGCTCACCTTGTTCTTCACCTCCCGCACAATATCCAGGTAGGGCATTCCCGGCTTCACCATGACCATGTCGGCTCCTTCCCGGACATCCCGGTCCTAAGGGATGAGGTAGGGTGTGGGCAGTGCCTGGGAGGCTGGGAGAGAGGGGGACAGGCTAGCTGGGGCTCAAGCTCTGGTCACTCACCACTGCTCGGAGCGCCAGGCCTCGTGCTCCCGGTGGCAGCTGGTAGCAGCGGCGGTCTCCAAAAGCTGGGCTTGACTGAGCCGCGTCCCTGGGAAGCAGCAACATCAGGGAGGGCTTCAGCTTTGGGCTAACGGGTCGGGGATTTAACAGTAGACCCTAGCCCATCCCCACTCACCGGAAAGGTCCATAGAAACAGGAAGCAAATTTGGCGCTATAGCTCATCACCGATACCTGTGGAGGGAACGTGGGGAATGCGCTCAGTCAGCCCTTTCCAGTTGTTCTAGGGTCACGTACAGGAAAGGGACCTAGGCTGGGAAGCAGAGTGCCCGCGTTCTAGTCCCACTGGAGCTCTGGGCCTTGATTTCCCTATCTCAGGAGCAGAGGGCGAGACAATCCCAAAGACCTTGTCCTGTCCGTCTTCAGTTCTGTGATTCTTGGCAGATGTGGGGGCAGGCCTCTCTCCTCTCCTCACCTCCCCCCACCCCTCCCCCCACCCCCTGCTCCTACCCTGTTGCCAAATCCATGTGCCATCAGAGCCTCCTTGATGGCTTCCACGCGTCCATCCATCATGTCCGACGGGGCTACCACCTGACATCCTGAGGGAGGGAGGATGGCCTTCAGGACTCTGGGACCCTCCTGTCTACTCCGCCACCTCCCTGGCCCAGAGGTTCTCATCCCTGCTGGTGGCCTCCTCACCTGCCTTGGCATAGGCCAGAGCCACCTCTGCCAGCCGCTGGCGGCTCTCCTTGGCCTGGAAAGCCCCATTCTCGCTCAGAAGCCCTGCACGTCAGACAGCTGGATTTTAGGGAGCCCCTGGCCTGTCCCACTGTGGGGAGAACTGGGCAGAGGGAGTGCGGGTGGCAGCAGGGCTGGTGGAGGGAGGGAACTCACCACAGTGACCATGGGAGGTGTAGGGGCACAGGCAGACGTCGCAGGCCACCAGCAGGCTGGGGAAGGTCTTGCGCAACAGACGAACTGCTTCGACAGTCGGGGAGTCCTCGGCGTCCGCTGCAGAGCCCCGCTCATCCTAGTGACAGGGAAAGGACAAAGGAGGCACAGTGAGGACTCTCCCGTTTTGCACAGGGGACTTGACTTGCCCAGTCAGGGTGTCATAGTGCTACTTAGCTTCTTGACCTTACATGGGTGCTGTCTTAATAACAGGGGCCATGTCCATTCGCCTGTGGCCCGAGGGCCAGCACAAGGCCTAAATGAGGGTGTGGTCAGTGTGGAACCTCAGCTCCCCTTCACCCAACCTCCCCTTCACTTCCCCTCTAATACCTCCCCCGAGTCCTCACCTTGGGAACTCTACTGGGGACACCAAAGACCAGGACGCAGCGCAGGCCCTCTTCCACCAGGGGCCTCAGCATCTCTTCTAGCCGGTTCACACCATACCTGCGAGGAGGGGCTGCAGTGAGGCAGGCCCCTGACAAAGGCCCTCCCCACCCTGCCACACTGTGCCTCTACTAAGAGCCAAGTGGCACTTGGTACTAGGAGGGCTCAAGCCCCGTAGTACAGGGGGTGGGGGCAGGAACGTACCCAACAAACAGATGGGTAAACTGAGGCACCAAGTGGCAGACTATGGGATTCAGCTGCAAAAGGCCCCTCCAAGGTTCTTTTATTGAACTCCCATTTGAAGTTAAGCTCTACCTCTCCAAGACTCTGCTATGATCCCTCTGGTGATGGGTAGCCCATTACTTTTGCAAGGCTGCCTTCTTCTGTGTGGAACAACTTTGACCCTGACAAAACCCTTCTCTCTACTGAGCTGAAGTCAGACTCTCCGGATCTTCTACCTCCTGGCTCTGCTTTCTGCTTCCTGGCACCTCACGTATAAATCTCTCCTCTATCATCCCCTCCCTCCCCACCATGTCTCCTACCTGGCCACTCCTGGAAGGCTGGCAATAGGCTGTACATCATCAGGAACATCCCTGCAAGAGTGGGGGTGGGCTATGGATTGGTAGCTGTGGAAAGGGCCAGTGGTGAGGGGGTGGCGAGGGGGGATGGCTGGGGAGCCGGGAAGGAATATGGAAGTGGAGATGTTGGGAGGAGGACAGGGTCCAGTGTCTGGTCCCCCTGCCTGGCCAAGCCCAGGGCCTGAAATAATAATAGGAACAACAAGAATAACAGTGACAGCAAGAGGAACCTTACTAAAAGACAAGCAATCATAGGAAGCACTCAAGTGGTTAAGAACTTGGACTCTGAAGTCAGAAGGTCCTCACTTACTATCACAGTCACTTACTAGTACTGACTGGGTGACCTTCTTAGCTTCTTGATCTTACATGGGTGCCATGTCCCTTCGCCTGTGGCCCCAGGGCCAGCACAAGGCCTAAATGAGGGTGTACCATCTCTGAGCCTCAGGCCCTTTTTTTATATCCTGGGTGGATTCATTCATTCATTCATTCATTCATACAACAAATATTTATTGAGTACTTATTATGTGCCAAGTACTGTTCTAGGCTCTGACAGTATAACAGTGAACAAAGCAGACAAAAATCCCTGCCCTCAAGGAGATAACAATCTAGGGTGGGAGTGGGAACCTTTTTTCTGCCAAGGGCCATTTGGATATTTATAAGATCATTTGCAGGCCGTAAACAATTATCAACTTAAAAATTAGCCTGCTATATTTGGTCAAACATTTGATTAACTCACCCCTAATGCCTTGGCAGGGCCAGATCAAATGATTTTGCAGGCCTCATAGGCCTGCAGGCTGGATGTTCCCCACCCTTGATCTAGGGGATAATAGTCATACCTTCCTCATATGGATGCTGTCAGGACTGAAAGATAACAGATGTAGATGCTTAGCATAGTACCTGGTACACAGTGAGTTCTCAATAAATGTCAGCTGTTGCTATGCTATACAATAAAAGGGTAATATGCAAATCGACTGAAGGGCCGGTCACTATGATGCGCACTGACCACCAGGGGGCAGAAGCTCAGCGCAGGAGCTGCCCCCTGGTGGTCAGTGGGGGGGGAGCGCCGCCCAGCCAGAAGGCAGCACTAAGACTGACAGCTTAAGTCTGCTCCCCACATGAGCCAGGACATCCCCCGAGGGCTTCTGGGCTGTGAAAGGGTGCAGGCCAGGCTGAGGGACCCCTCTCCTCCTCAGTGCACAAATGTCATGCACTGGGCCTCTAGTTATTAATAATCATGACTACCACCTCTTACATGTACATAGCACTTTACAATCTACAGAATACCTTCCCAGCTTCTGTCATACTGCAAAAGCTCAGGATGGCAGGTAAGACTTATTCTTATTTTCCAAATGGGAAGACTGAATTCTTCTCAAGGTTTGTTTCATTCTTAAGACAACTGTCCTTAACCCATACCTTGAGCTCCAAACTGACATCTCACTTTATCACCCGCAAACAGATGCCTGCTCTGGTCACCGACACACCCACCCACCCACCCACACCCTGCGGATCAGAGACCCGGTTCATTCTGGGGACTCACGTGACAAAGATGGGGTAGATGAGGTTGGAGGCACTGAATGTAGTGGCGGCTGCCTGCCAGGTCCGAAGCAGTGGGTGGAAGTAGCCGCTGTGGAGAACAGACTGGGGCTGCATGGTGAGCAGTCAGGGTACAGGGTAGCCAGCTGGTTGGAACTGAGGGCTCCTGGGTGTTCAGCTATGTGGGGACAACAGGAGGCACGTGAGACATGGTCCCTGCCCCCAAGAGGCGGTCATATACCCCCCAAGCTCTTCTGGATTCCTGCACCTGCTCTCTACCTCAGTGTTCCTCTGAGTGTGGTTCACCAGTCCTTGCTGGTCTATAAGATAAGTAGAGAAATGAAAGGAGGCCTTAAGAAACCTTCATAGCAATTTGAACCCAGTAATACAAAATTTGGGCTCATACTTATATGGCCTCTCTTTTTCTTTTTAAATAATATTTTTCTAGTAATTCATTTTCATTTTATCAAAAAAATCAATCTGGCCTGGATGGAAATTAGTATGAGGAACACTGATCTAGCCAACATTTATACTTTGTTTATTCCATGAAAAATGTCCATGTACTTGGCAGAAAGTTTAGATAAACCAAAGTAAAAAACTCCCTGTAATTCTACCCTTCGTACGTGGACTGGTCAGGCAGGACACACACTAAGAGGATTAAATAGTGGTTCCCAACACACACACACACCCTGTAGAGTGGCCATTGATGTCGCCTTTTCTAGCCCTCAAACTTCCTGCTACTCCCCAAGCACAAGCCACGTGTGGCTAGCTTCTGGCTCTGCTCCCCCTGCTCCCTTTACCTAGAAGGCTTGTGCTCTCTCCACTCCTCCAGCCCCAGATCCTACCTGGCTGTCCACAAGGCACTCCTTCCTTCCCTCTCCCACTAAAGCCTCTCTTCTTGCCCAGGTCACACTTTCTCTTATATAACAGGTCTTTGTGACTATATCTTATCTTGTCCCAGTAGACAGAGCTTCTGCAGGCTTATAGTGAGTTCATTTTTTGTCTTCCCCACACACTCTGCCACATAGTAAATATTACATGAAATACCAGACAATATGTCCTAAATGCTAAATAAATGTAAGATAGAAGGAAGCTGGGGCAGTAGCATTTGTTTCTTGAGCACCTACTGTGTGCCAGGCCACACTGGGCACTTGCACACATGGTTTCTCATTGAGTTGGCACTACAGTCCTGGGAGGTAGGGCTGATTGAGTGCATCTCGGAGAGGTGGAACCTACCCTAAAAGAACTATGAGTTCCAATGTGAGTTTGGAGGTCTGAAGAAGCTTGTTGAAAGAAGATGAGGACTTGAACTGGTTTTGCAGGATGAGTGGGTTCAGCTAGTTAGAAGGAAAGGGGAGAATATTCCCTCAGGAAGAGAAGAAAGGAGTAAAGGTAGGGAAGGAGGGATGGCTATGGACTGTTCCTAGGACCTAAGGAGGCAATCAATGGAACCAGGTGTGTATGGAGGGGAGGGGGGCAGATTGGGGACAGGAAGGTTTCTAATGGTGGTGGGTGGGGTGGCCTGGTCAGAGCCTGGCTTTAGGAAGAAAATCCTGACAGCCTGAGCACAGCAGGTGGGAAGCAGAGGAGCACAGAGGATGTGGAGCCAGAGGGGTGAGGCAGCCAAGAGGCAGTCTGGGGGGGGGGACGGGGGGGACGGACGCTTTCCTGATCTGGAGGGCAATGGAGACAGGGACCAGGCAGGAAGAGGGTAGGGGGGAGCAGACCTTGGAGAGGAGGTGGAGAGCTCCGTTTTAGAGACGTCCTTTTGGAGGCGTGTACAGATGTCGATGTGAACAAAAGTGACTCCATCTTTGCATCCCTGCTTTTATTTTTCCATGCTGAGAACTCTGACCTAGCTCATCTCAGCCAGCACCAAAGCCTCACAGTTAATGATTAGCTGTGTCCTATAAATTCACATAGTGTAACCATAGATTCCTGTCAGTAAGTGACCAGAATGGCACAGCAAACAAGATAAAATATCAAACTTGGTGTTGGCAATCCTAAGACCTGTCTCATTGCATTCTTTGTCCCTTAGTCTTGTCAATCATTAGTAGTTCAGCTATACTACAAAAGGTTTATTAGTCTAGCTAATAATCTGCAGGGTCGGATGGCTTGTCTCTTCTGATCTGACCCAAACTTCAATAAGTAAATGACCCTATAATAAATTCTGTTATAGTCAATGAACTTGCCTGCTTCGTTTGTCAGTCTGGAGACACCTTTACAGATTGCTGGTTAATGTACTTCCACGCCACCTTCAGGCAAGGTGCCTGGGGGGACACTCAGTAGCCAAGTAGGGAAGAAAAAATATCAAGAGCCACTCATCTCTCCTTGTGTGAATGGGATCTCAAGGCTCAGAGAAAGGCAGGGACTTATCCGAGGTGACACATCCCCTTGGCCTGGGGAGTCCTTTAGTACACGGATGATACCTTTCTCCCCAGTCTCCCAGGCCTCTTTTTATCTGACCCGCCTTCCTGTCAGGATTGGGGTTATCAGGAGCCACACGGGGCCCCATCCTACCACCCCACCCTTGAGCCACCATATCATCTGACACAGGAGCAAGCCAGGCCTCCCCGAAATGTCCCAACTCCCAAATGAGCAATCATTCGGCAGTTACAAAGTCCCGAGTGACCATTTTGTGCAAGATTTTGCTCTCAGCCCGGCCAGTGTGGCTCAGTTGGTTGAGTGTTGTTCTGTGTACCAAGAAGTCCAAAGTTTGATTCCCAGTCAGGTGACATGTCCAGGTTGTGGGCTTGATCCCCAGTGGGGGGCGTGCAGGAGGCAGCCTATCAATGATTCTCTCTCATTGCTGTTTCTATCTCCCGCTCCCTTCCTCTCTCTATAAAATCAATAAAAAATATTAAAAAAAAAAAAAAGGATTTGCTCCCAGGTCTGCCAGGGATTAGCCTAGCTCAGAGAGGCTGTCACTTGCCCAAGACTACACAGCTAGTTAGTAACAGCCAGAATTTGAATTTGTTCTAGACAAGAGTGCTCGGTTTTATCTACTAGTCCTGGTAAACACTTGATTCAGCAGGCACCTCTCTGCCTCGACTATCTTTGCTTTGCTCTGGTGGCTGGAGAGCTGAGAAAACAAGGAAACAAGAATTGAGATAAGGAAATGGAAGCTCAGAGAGGTTAAGTAACTTGCTCAATGTCATTCTGGAGTCAAATCAGATTCTGAAGCTGGGTCTACGCACGTCTCAGATAGCAGCAACCTTTGTGGCAGCTCCCAGCTTCTGGAATCCAGAGCTGCATTCCACTGGCTTCATTCTCGCTTCTACTTTAGAAGGCTGAGGGAGCAAATAAACGCCTTCTGTTTATCAGCAGCAACAGGGCAGGGCTGCCTAGGAGCTTTGCAGGAGGTGGGGGACAAGGGAGGGTGAGAGTGTCGAGGGAGAGGCCCTCACTAGGGCAGTTCCGCTTTAATATCTGTGTGTTGTTGTATTTTAATTTTAGGGTTCAGGGAGATTTGATTTGAGAAACGGGTATCAGTAATAAAAAAGTTAAGTTGAAAATCACCAATCCTGTTTATCGCTTTCATTCTGATGTGGAAATTGCATGCAGAGAGGCAACAGGACCTGTCTGATATCACACAGTGAGTCAGGTACAGAGCTGGGCTTGAGCACGGGATCTCCTGGCTTCTAGTCCAGTGCCAAACCCTGCACCACGCATGGTCATCCTGTCACAACAGGTGCTGAATCAATATGTGTGGGGTAGAAAAACACCCCTGAGCAACAGAGTTGCATCTCTGTTTGCAGAGCAAAAGCCAGGGGGAGGTTTGGGAGATTTTCATACACTTGGCAGGGCACTTCTCTCAAATCAAGGGAGCTTGCAAGTCACTGCTTAAATCCTGTCACACCTCCCCGAGAGTCAAGAGCAAGTCACCATGGGACCCAGCACCTGTGCT